GAGTGCAATGGCGTGATCTTGGTTCACCACAACCTCTGCTTCCCAGGTTCAAGCGATTCTCCTGCCTCATCCTCCTGAGTAGCTAAGATTACAGACGTACACCACCACACCCAGCTAATTTTTTGTATTTTTAGTACAGACAGGGTTTCTCCATGTTGGTCAGGCTGGTCTTGAACTCCTGACCTCAGGTGATCCGCCCACCTTGGCCTCCCAAAGTGTTGGGATTACAAGGCATGAGCCATGATGCCTGACCGATCTGATGGTTTTATAAAGGGTTTTATACGGGGGTTTTATACCCCTGCACATGTTCTCTTGCCTGCCACCATGTAAGACCTGCCTTTGCTTCTCCTTCACCTTCTGCCATGATAGTGAGGCCTCCCCAACCATGTGGGATCGTGCGTCCATTAAACTTGTTTTTCTTTATAAATTACCCGGTCTCAAGTATTTCTTTATAGCAGTATGAAAATGGACTGATACACCATTCATCCACTGATGTCTAGCAGCATTTAAAATGAACATACTCTTTTGACCCAGCAAGTCTATTTCAAGGACTTTGCCCTATGTATATACTTGCATATAGATACAAAGATGACGTTTGTAGAAGACTCTCTTGGTTGTTACCCGATAGACATTTCATCCTGTCTTCTTGCCATTGGGACCTTGAGTTTCTTCAGGTATCAGGATGCATTGTGATCAGGAAAAGCATGTTCTTCCCCAGCTCCAGGGAATTAATCTTAACTAGTATAAGCCAATAATAGTAATTATTTTCCTCTTTAACAGTGATTGGTCTATGGATGGGTATGTTCTAGCTAATGATTTGTGAAGGAAAGTCTGCTGCAGGGCTTCTGGGAAAAGTTTTCTTTCCAGAGAAAAGATTTGTGAGGAGAAAATGAGTTCTTGTCTTTGAACAGAGTTCAATGTTGATGGGATGCCTGGAACAGTAGAAGCCATCTTACTTCCAAACCCAGGGCAAAAAATCAAACACCCTGAAGATGGCAAGAGAAATATGGAAAACATGTGGTCCGTTAATGACAGTGTTGTGCCACTAAATTAACTCACCCTGGGACCACCTAGCTGTAGATCTCTTGTTATGTAAGATAATAAATCCTTACGATTTGCTTTTAGTTGGGTGTTGTTCTGTTATTTTCATTCTAAAACACTCTAATTGATATGGTGTTTATCGCAGCATTGTTTGTAATAGCAAACACCCTAAATGTTAATCAATAGAAGACTCGTTAAATAAATTATGTTACATCCATACAATAAAATACTATGCACTTATAATTAAAAAGTGGATTTATATGCAGATATGGAATAAGTTATAAGAAATAGTGAATAGGAATAGCAAAGTACATAAACGTGTCTCAGTAGGCTCCTGTGTGTGTTAAAAAATATACACATATATACATTCGTGTAAATACAGAAAATGCATGCATATCATCTCTAACCTGTTCCACTCAGTATGCCTACCTCTTCCTGTGCCTTCAGCCATCTGAATATATACTTAACTCTTGGTTAGTAACCTTGTCTCCTGATAGTGAATATTTTTTGGGATGTATTTGGCAGCAGATAATATAGTGTCAACTAAAATAGCTTCAACAATATACAGTTATTGGGCTGCGCATGGTGGCTCATGCCTGTAATTCCAGCACTTTGGGAGGCTGAGGCAGGATGATTGCTTGAGCCCAGGAGTTCGAGACCAGACTGGGCGACAAAGTGAGACCTTGTCTCTATAAAAAATTTTAAAACTTAGCAATGCACGATGGCATGTGCCTGTGGTCCCAGTTACTCAGGAGCCTGAGACAGGAGGATCGCTTGAGCCCAGGAGGTTGAGGCTGCAGTGAGCTGTGATCACACCACAGCTTGGGCAAGAGTGAGACCTTGTCTCAAAGCAAGCAAGCAAACAAACAAACAATACAGTTATTTTATGTAACAAGTCTGGTTGGTAGTGGGCAGTTTTGGGGTTTATTTGGTGGCTCAATAATGTCATTGGAGACCGGGAGCCTCCTCACTTTTCTTTCTGCCATCTCAGGATGTTGGCAAAATCTCTCCTTGTGGTCACCAGATGGCTGCTGTAGCACTGAGTATTGTATTCACATGACTGCACCCTAACAAGATGGTTACGGAGAAGGACATAGTGAACCTTTTCCTCTTATGATTCTTTCTCTTTCTTATTTTTTTTTTTTTTTTGAGACGGAGTTTCGCTCTTGTTACCCAGGCTGGAGTGCAATGGCTCGATCTCGGCTCACCGCAGCCTCCGCCTCCCGGGTTCAGGCAATTCTCCTGCCCCAGCCTCCTGAGTCGCTGGGATTACAGGCACGCGCCACCATGCCCTGCTAATTTTTTGTGTTTTTAGTAGAGACGGGGTTTCACCATGTTGACCAGGATGGTCTCGATCTCCTGACCTCGTGATTCACCCGCCTCGGCCTCCCACAGTGCTGGGATTACAGGCTTGAGCCACCGCGCCCGGCCTCTCTTTCTTATTTTTAACGAATGAGTAAAATCTTCCCTAACAGCCACGAGTAGGTATCTGCTTGTGTTTTACTAGCCAGAACTAAGTCATGTGACTACCCTTAGTCCAATCAATTACTGGCAATGGGGATGTGCTTTGAACCAATTATGATTAATCTTTTTCAGTTGTGCATGCTGACCCTGAATCAAATCAGATTTCTGTCTACAACAAAGAAGAAAAGATGGCAGCTAGGTAAGTAATCAGCTATGACTGGCACTCATACCTCTTTAGTTTGTGTTCTCTTTAATTTGGAATTCTGTCAATAGTCTTTTGCTCGGCTAGGCGCGGTGGCTCACACCTGTAATCCCAGCACTTTGGGACGCTGAGGCGGGTGAATAGTTTGAGCCTAGGAGTTTGAGACCAGCTTGGCCAATAGGCGAAACCCCATCTCTACAAAAATCAGCCAGCTGTAGTAGCTTATGCCTGTAGTTCCAGCTACTTGGGAAGCAGATTGTAGCAAGCAGAGATGGTGCCACTGCACCCCAGCCTGTGCCACAGAGTGAGACCCGGTCTTAAAAAAAAGTGGCCTGTTTCACCTTTTTTTCTGTTTTGAAATAATGTTCATGTGTTTCTCATTATAAAAGTAATATATGCTCATTGCTCATTGAAAGGAATATAGAATCCATGAAGAAAATAAATCAATATGTGTATGTGTGTGTGTGTGTGTGTGTGTGTGTGTGTTAGGGTTATCCAAAGAAACAGATCCAATATGATATATATGTTTCTTTATTTATTTATGAGACAGAGTCTCACTGTCACCCAGGCTGGTGTGCAGTGGTGTGATCTTAGCTCACTGCAACCTACACCTCCTGGGTTCAAGCGATTCTCCTGCCTCAGCCTCCTGAGTAGCTGGGATCACAGGTGCCCACCACCAAGCCTGGCTAATTTTTGTATTTTTAGTAGAGACATGGTTTCACCATGTTGACCAGGCTAGTCTTGAACTTGACCTCAAGTGATCCACCCATCTCGGTCTCTCAAATTTTTGGAATTACAGGTGTGAGCCGCTGCTCCCAGCCTGAACCAATATGGTATATATGGATATATGGAAATATATTGTGATGGATTGGTTCGTGTGATCATGGAGGCTGAGAAGTTCCATAATCTGCCATATGTAAGCTGTATGTTGTGGCATTATGGTAAAATAAGAAATACATATTTGGTCTCTGTCCCTGGTTCCTGGCACACAGAGCTCCCAATCCCTTGGAATTCCTGGAAGATAGGAGCATGTTTTGTTCTAATGAGGTGACTCTTGGTGGGCTTCTGAATGGGAGTTGGTCACCAGGAAGACCAAGCCATGATTAGAAGCTTGGAACTTTCAGCTTTAGCCCCCATCCTCTGGGAAGGGGAGAGGGACTGGAGACTGAGTCAGTAATCAATCATGCCTGTGTGATAAAGCTGCTATAAAAATCCCTGAACTGTGGGATTCAAAGAACTACCCAGTGGCTGAACACATGGAGGTACCAGAGGGTGGCGTACTGACAAGGGCATGGAAGCTCCATGCCCCTTCCTGCATACCTCACCCTATGCATCTCTTCTCTTTGAAAGCTGTTCTTCTTTTCCTTTTTAAGGTCCTCTGTAATAAATGGGTAAACATAAGTAGTTTCCCTGAGTTTTGTAAGCCACGCTAACAAATTAATTGAACCTGAGGAGAGATTAATGGAAACTCCCAATTTACGGCTGAATGGTCAGATGTAGTCACAACCTGGAGAACTTGTAACCGGCATCTAAAGTGGGGGCGCTCTTCTGGGACTTCTTGTGGGACCGAGCCCTTAACCTGTGGTATCTGATGCTAACTCCAGGTAGATAGTGTCAGAATTGAGTTAAATTGTAGATACCCAGTTGGCGTCTGATGGAGAATTGGCTGTTGGTGAAGCAGATTTTGTTGACCAGAGATGTAGTATTGTATTGAGTGGTGAGTGTGTGAGGGTAGGAAAAGCAATGTGGTGTTTCCTGTCTCAGAGACCAGGAGAGTTGGTGATGTAGTTCCAGTCCAAGTCCAAAGGCCTGAGAACCAGGGCAGCCAATGGTATAAGTCCCAGTTCTGATACAAAGACCTAAGAACAGGGTAGACAGTGGGGTGTGGCTGCTGGTGCGTATCCTGGTCAGAGTCTGAAGGGCTAAGAAGTAGGAGGCTGACAGTTTAAGTCCCTGTCTAAGTCTGAAGGCATAAAAACTGGAAGCACTGATGCCTGAGGGCCTGAGAAGATGAATGTCCCGACTTTAGCTGAGAGAATGATTTTACCCTTCCTCCGCCTTTTCATTCTATTTGGGTTCTCAACAGATTGGATCATGCCCACCCACATTGGTGAGGGTATCTTCTTTACTCAGTCAGCTGATTCCGATGCTAATCTCTTCCAGAAACACCCTCACAGACACACCCACAGAGAATGTTTTACCAGTTAGCTATACATTCCTTAGCCCAAACTGAGACATAAAATTAACTGTCACAGAATGTATGTGTATATACATGTGTGTGTATGATGATCTAGTCGAATATCCGTGTGTGTATGTATGTCTGTGATCTAGTTGAATATCCATGTGTGTATGTATGCCTATGATCTAGTTGAATATCCGTGTGTGTATGTATGCCTATGATCTAGTTGAATATCCGTGTGTGTATGTATGCCTATGATCTAGTTGAATATCCGTGTGTGTATGTATGCCTATGATCTAGTTGAATATCCGTGTGTGTATGTATGTCTATGATCTAGTTGAATATCCGTGTGTGTATGTATGTCTATGATCTAGTTGAATATCTGTGTGTGTGTGTGTGTGTATGTACGTATGTATGTCTGTGATCTAGTTTAATATCCTATCAGTTTTCACTTAACATTTTATGATGAACTTGCTGTTTCCCCTTTGGTCCCAGCCTCCTCTTCACACATGTTCAAAATAAGGAAAAGAAGCACAGAACACATGAGTCTCAGTGAAGTGATTAATTAGATCAAAGTCACTTTTGATTTGGAAATGTCCTTGTTTCATCATTCCTGATTGGTCTCCACGTGGGCATACTTAACATTCTCTACTGAAGAGCACTCTTGCGGGCTCCGAGGACATTTAGATACCTAGGTACAACATGAGCATGAGGGAAAACACTTTTCTTCAGGCTGTCTAGCGGTTGACATTGGGACTGACCACTCTTCATGGAGAATCTTGGCCTTACCCTTGCAGGCCTGATATAGTTTGAATGTGTCCCCACCTAAATCTCATCTTGAATGGTAACTCCCACAATTCCCAGATGTTGTGGGAAGGACCCAGTGGGATTTAATTGAATCACGGGGGCAGTTCTTTCTCATGCTGTTCTTTTGATAGTGAATAAGTCTCATGAGATCTGATGGTTTTATAAAGAGGAGTTTCCCTGCACAAGTTCTCTCTCTTTGCCTGCCACTGTAGGATGTGACTTGCTCCTCCTTGCTTGCTGCCATGATTGTGAGGCCTTCCCAGCCATGTGGGACTGTAAGTACATTAAACCTCTTTCTTTTGTGAATTGTCCAGTCTTGAGTATATCTTTATTAGCAGCATGAGAATTCTGCTAATAAACATTTATATCTCCAAACAACCTGAGAGCTTCAACTGTTATATAAGGTATACACATGCTTGGTGTTGGTAAGAGGGGTTAATCTCTGTCTTCATGAAACATTATGCTCATTCCTTCAATGTGTCCTTATGATGGATTATAGGGAGCTGTGCACAGGAGTCTTTTTTGCTAAGCTGGACCTTTGGGAGCCGCAGATGGGAAGCCGTTTTCCCCTAGCATAAGTTACCTGATTATTCAATGTGTCCCCAGTACATTGTCACTTCAGGATGCCTTACTTTAGAAGAAACATTGTCTATGATGGTGCTGTGGAGTATCTGTTTTTGTTGTTGTTTGTTTGTTTGTTTTTTGAGACACAGTCTTGCTCTGTTGCCCAGGCTATCTGGTAGGGGTGCACTCTCGGCTCACTGAAACCTCTGCCTGCCAGGTTCAAGTGATTCCCTTGCCTCAGCCTCCCGAGTAGCTGGGATTACAGGCACTTACTACCGTGCCTGGCTAATTTTTGTATTTTTAGTAGAAATGGGATTTCACCATGTTGGCCAGGCTGGTCTTGAACTTCTGACCTCAAGTGATCTGCTCACCTTGGCGTCCCAAAATGCTGGGATTAACAGGTTGTTTTCTTAATGTATAATTAATTTTGGTTACAGAGTTGGCAGAGACAAATGCCTATTGGCAATAGCATTTAGACTTATTATCTGAGGACAGTTGGCCTCAAAGCCCAAAGTGAAGAAAAAAGAGATAAAAGCAGACTTTTCTTGCAGTTCTATTCCTTCAAGCCATGAAACTTAAATGTCATCTTTTCGGTAATGAAGAGCCATCTCGAAAGTCTCTAACCTTGAGTCTGTGAGAACCTCTTTGGCAACATGTGGCAGATTATATTTCCCAAAGATGGCCACAGCGTCTCCCATCCCCCATGCCTTCCTGCAATGTGACCTTGCTGTTCCCTCATCAAGAGAGGTGGATTGAATTCTCCTCCCATTGAATCTGGCTGGCCTTAGTGATTCCCATGTGAGGTTACCAGGTTTAATAAATGAAAATGCGAGATGCCCAGTTGAATTTGAATTTCAGATGAACCACAAATGATATTTTAAATATAAGTTTGTCTCATTAATATAGTTTGGATGTTCGCCCCACCCAAATCTCATGTTGAATTGTAATCTGCAATGTTGGAGGTAGGGCCTGGCAGGAGGTATTTGGGTCGTGGGGGCAGATCCCTCATTTCTTGGTGCTGTCTTTGTGATAGTGAGTGAGTTCTCAAGAGATCTGGTCATTTAAAAATGTGTGGCACCTGCCCCCCAACTTTCTCTTGCTCTTGCTTTTACCATGTGAAGTGCCTGCTCCTGCTTCCCAAGAAGCAGACATATGCCAACACTGTGTTTCCTGTAAAACCTCAGAACCCTGAGCCAATTAAACCATTTTTTCTTATAAAGGACTCAGCCTCAGGTATTTCTTTATAGAAAATCGAGAATGGTCTAATACAGACAATTGGTACTGGGAGTGGTGCATTGCTATGAAGATACCTGAAAATGTGAAAGCAGCTTTGGAGCTGGGTAACAGGCAGAGGTTGGAAGAATCTGGAGGGCTTAGAAGAAGACAGGAAGACAAGGAAAAGTTTGGAACTTCTTAGAGACGAGTTAAATGATTGTGACCAAAATGCTGATAGTGATATGGACAGTGAAATCCAGGCTTAGGAGGTTTTAGATGGAAAAAGGAACTTACTGGGAACTGAAGCAAAGGTTGTGCCTTAACAAAGAGCCTGGCTGCTTTCTGTTCATGCCCTAGGGATGTGTGGAAGTTTGAATTAAAGAGTCATAATTTAGGGTATCTGGCAGAGGAAATGTCTAAGGAGCAAAGCATTCAAGAGGTAGCCTGGTGGCTTCTAACAGCCTATGCTACACTCAAATGTAGGAACAAGTAAATGACTTAAAGTTGGAACCTATATTTAAAAGGGAGGCAGAGGATAAAAGTTTAGAAAATTTGTGGCCAGACGTGGTGGCTCAAGCCATAATCCCAGCACTTTGGGAGGTTGAGGCGGGCAGATCATGAGGTCCGGAGTTTGAGACCAGCCTGGGCCAACATAGTGAAACCCCATCTCTACTAAAAATACAAAAATTATCTAGGCATTGTGGCACATGCCTGTAGTCCCAGCTACTCAGGAGGCTGAGGCAGGAGAATAGCTTGAACCTGGGAGGCAGAGGTCATGGTGAGCTGAGATCGCACCACTGCACTCCAGCCTGGGCAACAAAGTGAGATTCCATCTCAAAAAAAAAAAAAAAAAAAGAAAAAGGAAACTTTGTAGCCTGGTCCTGTGGCAGAGAAAGAAAATGCTTTTTTTTGGAGGGGATTCAAGCAGGCTATGGAGCAATCATTTGCTAGAGAGATTTGTATGACTGAGAAAGAGCCTAGTGCTAATAGCCAAGACAATGGCAAAAAGGCCTTGAAGGCATTTCAGAGAACTTCAGGCAGCCTCTCCCGTCACAGGCCCTGTGGCCTAGGAAGGCTCATTGGTTTTGGGGTCCAGGCCCAGGGCCCTACAGCCCTGTGCAGCTTTGGGACACTCCTCTCCACATCTCGGCTGCTCTAGCTCCAGCCTTGGCTCAAAGGGCCCTAGATACTTCTCATGCCACCACTTTGGAGAGTACAAGTCTCTGTAAGCCTTGGTGGCTTCCACATGGTGTTAAGCCTGCGTGTGCACAGAGTGCCAGACTGAATGAAGCTTGGTACCCTCTACCTAGATTTCAGAGGATGTATGGAAAAGCCCGGGTGCCCAGTCAGGGCCCCACAGAGAACATCTACTACAGCAGTGTGGAGGGAAAATGTGGGGCTGGAGCCCACACACAGTCTCCCCTGGGGCACTGCCTAGTGGAGTTGTGAGAAGGGGGCCACTGCCCTCCAGACCCAAGAATAGTAGCTCTACCAGCAGCTTCCACCTTGTACCTGGAAAAGCTGCAGGTTCTCAACAACCTGTTAAAGCAACTTCAGGGGCTGGACCCTGGAAAGCCACAGAGGTAGAGCTGCCCAGGGCCTTGGGGGCCCAGCCCTTGTACCAGTGTGCCTTGAATGTGGGACATGGAGTCAAAGGAGATTATTTTGGAGACTTAAGATTTAATGACTGCCCTGCTAGGTTTTGGACTTGCATGGACCCTGTAGCCCCTTTCTTTTGGCTGATTTCCCCCTTATGGAATGGGAGTATTTACCTAATGCCTGTGCTCCCATCGTATCTTCAAAGTGAATAACTTCTTTGTAATTTTATAGGTTCATAGGTGGAAGAGACTTGCCTTTTCTCAGATGAGAATTTGGATTTTGGACTTTTGAGTTAGTGCTAGAATGAGTTAAAACTTTGGGAGATTGTTGAGAAGGCATGATTGTATTTTACAATGTGAGGATAGAAGATTGATTTGGGAGGGCCTGGGGTAGAATGATGTATTTTGGATGTCTGTTCCTGCTCAAATCTCATGATGAATTGTAGTCTGTAATGCTGGAGGTGGGGCCTGATGGGAGGTACTTGGGTCATGGGATGGATCCCTTATGGCTTGGTGCTGTTTTCATGGCAGCGAGTGCCGTTTGAAAGTGTGTGGCATCCCCCCTCCCACTCTCTCTTGCTCCTGCTTTTACCATGTGAAGTGTCTGCTCCTGCTTCATCTTCTCTCATGAGTAAAAGCTTCCTGAGGCCTCCTCAGATGCTGAGAAGATGCTGGCACCGTGTTTCCTATAAAGCTTGCAGAACCATAAGCCAGTTAAACCTCTTTTCTTTGTATTTCTTTGTGGAATGTAAGTATAGCCTAATACACCCATGCAATGTTTGTATTTTATCTGGCAACCCTACTGGCATGTTACCAACAGAATGTGGCAGAAGGGACGCACATGACCCAGGATGGATTACAAGAAGCCTTGAGCTTCCGCTTTGATCTGTTCAAACTCTTGCTCTCTGATGCCTCCCTCAGGACACTCTCTCTAGCAGCCACGCTATGAGAAGCCAAAACCAGTCAAAGATCTCAGCTGAGTCCAGCCTTTGAGTTATGCCAGCCCAGGCACCAGGCATTTGAGAGGAAGGCTCCAGACCAGGCTTTCCAAAAGAACTTTTTACAGTGATGGAAGTGTTTAATATCTGTACTGTCCAATATGGTTGACACTAGCCACATGTGACTCGTGAGGCTTAAAATGTGACCAGGGCTACCAAGTAACTGAATTTTAAATTGTGTTTAATTTTAATTCATATTTAAATAGCCACATGTGGCTAGTGGCTACTGGACTGGACAGTGCAGATCTCGATGATTTCAGCACCCAGCCTTTGGAGTCACCCCTACCTGTTTGCATCTTCCAGCTGAGGCCCCAGGTAGTGTGGTGCAGGGAAAAGACACTCAAGAGTGCTCTGTTCAAATGCCCAAGTTGCAGAATCTGGGAGCATAATAAAATGGTTGTTTTATGTTGCTAAGCTTGGGGTGGTTTATTCTGCAGCAATAGATAATCAGAACAAGGTGAAATGTGCTAAGAAGAGATAAGTAAAGAAGGGCTCCAAACTCAAAGGCCCCATGGCCAGGAAGGGAGTTAATGAAGAGAACAAGCCCAGGAGCTACAGCCAAGGCACAGGTGGGTGGAAGAGCTGGGCTGTACTTCTTACTAGCAGGGACATCTCCCCTCTACTTCTTATTAGCAGGGAGATCTCAAGCTAC